GGGGGGGTGGACCGGCCCGGCGTCGTTGCCTGGCGACCGAGAGACCCTCCTCCCTCCCTCCACCCCGCCCAGAAAGTCCTCCCGGGTTGATTGGGGGGAGAATATATTGACAGGAGTTGGAAAGCCCCCTTCCCTAGCCAAAGGGCGAGGGAGCCCCCTTCCACCCCCCAAAGTGCCCTTCTCCCTGCCTGGGCCGCCTCCAGGGGTCACCCGAGGATGGAGAAGGGAGGGGAAACACCCCCTCCCCAATTTTTTCCTTTTTCCTTTTAGCATCCTGACCCTCAAGGGCACGTCCCTCCCCCCGCCAGGTTGAGGAGGGGGGGGGTCTGAATGTGGAATGTGGGGAGGGGAGAAAGGAGAGCACTTCCTGGTGGGAAGATGGGGAGGCTTTTGGGGGGAGGGGGGCTCAGGGGAGGGAGGGAGGGAGGGGGAACTGCCGGCTGGCGCTGCGCCTGCGGGATGTGGGAAGAGGAGGCGACCCAAAGTGGGATCGAAAACGTCCCTCTTGATTTAAAAATCCCTCTGAGCCTCTTTTGAGTCTGTGGCGCTCGGTGCCTTCCATTCTCTCTCTCTCTCTCTCTCTCTCAAGCCAGAGCTGTGCAGGAATAATCCCGGGTTGGACGTGCCTTCCTAGATGGAGAAGGGGAAATACTTGACATTGATGCAATCTTGTGCATGTTTTATAGATACACAGATGTATATACAGATGTAGATTTGTGTATATATAGATGCGTGTGTGCGTGCAAGAGAGAGATCTATTCATATCTATAATCAATAACTCTCAGTATCATCTTTTTTATCCATCCATTTTTGCCTATGTGTATCATCTATCATCTGTCTGTATCTCTTTATCTCTATCTTCTGTCTCTTGTTTATCCATCATCATCCCTTATCCATCCCTCCACCTACCTATCATGTATCTACCTACTTATCATCTATCAACCTACCTATCTATCTACCTGTATCTCATCTCATCTCTCTCTATCTCTATCAATTCGTCCAGACACACATATACACGTATACATACACGCACATGCATATATACATATAAAGCTACCCAGACAGGATTTCGGGATCATGACTGGCCTACATTCAGTGCTTTCGATTTAATGCCTTCCTTCCTTCCTTCCCCTGCCTCCTCCCTGGCCATAGAGCATAAGCCTAAAGAGAACAGGGACCGACCCCTTCGGTTTTATGGCTGCCTCTGTTTCCGGCTGTAAATAGTTGAGAGAGGACCAATATATGGTCACGGTTGACGGCGCCTCCATTTCCCATCCACCCTGAGAGCTGCCGAGATCTTGGTTTTCCTACACACACACATGCCAACAATCCTTGCCGGCATGGCTTAAATGCTGCTGAACCATAGGTAGCCTTGTAGTTGCGCACCTTACTTGTTGGCAAGTAGTATCTTCTATTTCCTGAAGGTATCTCTGCACACTGTGTAAGTGTGGAGTCAGCTTGTTCAGGTGCTTCAGAGGTGGGGGGGGGGGGGAGAAAAGGGGAGAGCTGTCGTTGTGGGTGTAGCTTTTAAAACACACACACACACACACACACACACACACACACGGTCCTGCATTGAGTTCCTGCCATCTGCAAATCTGTTAGAATCCCTTTGGCTACTAGAGATTTCAGGAAAGCCTTTGCAGGTTTCAAGGGGGCAGAAGATTGGATATTTTTTGCCAGGGCGAGAACATAAGAGATGAGTTGAAGGACTAGCTTGGCGTAAGGCCATTTCACACGTGATGCTGCTCATCAGAGAAACTTTAAGAAAGATGGTTAGCCAGTCCTGCCTCTTTCTCATCCTGCCCGTACGAGATCCTGCCTGGAAGGTGAAGTGTGCTTCATGTCTGAAATTTTTAAAAAATGGTGAAAAATTCATCTTCCTGTGCTTTTCAGTGGTGACACAGAGGTTGCCCCATTGAGCAATATTTTCATCTCCTCCCCCTTGCAAAGTTAAATAGGTGTGCTTACGGATGGGGCAAAAAATCCCCCCGTGGATGTTCGTTGTTGTAGATGAGCTTAGTCCAAGGCTCGTATTTGTCCTTGCGTGCCTCCTTTCGTCTCACCTACGGGCAACGCTGTGTATTTATAACATCTTCCTGAACGTGTTTGTGAGAGTTGCCGCCCGCTGTCCTACAAAACATTTGCACCGTGCGTTGCGGAAAGAGGCTCTGCTCCTTCCAGTCTGGGAGATGCTTTGACCCAGGTCATTTTTAGAGCAGTTGGGAGAGGCTAGTAGTAGCTGGAACTGGAAATAACCAGTGCCTGGAAAATGGTAATGAAAACAATATGGTGGGGGACATTGTAGTCATCCCACAACCTCCTGCCCTCTATTTCTGCTGGATATGATGGGGCTAGAGAAGGTCAAGATAGCCGATGGGGCATCAAATGGAAGAAAGATGGACTGTGAAAGTCATAAGCGGCGGTGGATTTTTGAAGTCTGTTTGTTTTGGATATTGGAAATTTTAAAAAAAATCTTTTTTTTTTTTAAACTAAGAAGTGGTGGTGTCATTTCACCGAAGAGAGTACCAGCGTGGGGAGTCTTTATAAAATGAAATTGTCCTGTGCTCTAATTCGCATCTCTCTCTCTTTTCAGTTTTGGTCCATCCATTTAAATGATTTGAGATGAGTTTTGATAGGAATGGAAAGCTTCCTGTTAAAACAACGTATCAATTACTTTCTCAGTACAGTCAATAAATAGAGCCATCCGTTTTTTAGGACAATGTTACATTTTAGGACCATGTTACATTAATCAAGGCATTTTTGTTACGTTCTTCCAAAGATAGGAAACTTCGATGTAAACTAAGGCTGGTGAGAGTTCAGTTGGTCTTTAGATGAATGTAGACCGATAATCGTTAATGTTTAAGAGTGAAACAGGTAAATCCTGAACATTTCCTGGTGAGAATTGCCCCAAAAGAATATAGTTTTTGAAATTTGGAAGCAACAGCTTTTAGCTCATATCCACAAGGGGGTAGTGATGTACTGTTGGAGATATCTGTCATGGAAATATTAGGAGATTCCTTTAAAAAAGAAACACAGATTGAGGTAGTATATTTGACTGCTCACTTAATGGCTTTTTAAAAAAAGAAGTTGGTAAAGCAAACCTTTTAAGGGGTTAAATGTTTGGGGTTTTATTCAGCTGTGGAATAATAGTCCAGGTGTTCCCTCTCTGACAACAGGAATCCATGTACATTTGCCAAGTCTTGTGTGTGTGTGTGTGTATGTATGTATGTATGTATGTATATATGCACATCATATGTTGCGATTTTTCAGGCTTTTACATCATCTTGTGAAGAATACTGTCTTCTTATTTCTGATCTTGGCTAGGGCCGAAAAAAATTATTCGACTTTTAATACCCGCCATCAACTTTTGCACTAAACCAAATAGCCCCAAGGGCAGATTCTACCTAACATTAATGCTAACTTGTGCGACGTTGCCTCAGGGGTCCCAACTCCTACACTATACATTCATGAATAATGTACAGATGGGTATTAAGGAGATTGATAAGATAGAGAAGACTGTTTAGAACTTTTCCCAGCCTTGATGCTTCTAGTGTCTGAGAAGAATCCTCTCTGCATATCCAGCAAAGAACGTAGCGTCTTTAAAAGGAACAATTTTGAGTTGCCGCTTTGATGCCTTTTAATTCATTATTTCAGACCATCCACATGACCGGCTCTATCAGGTTTCAGGATGTGCATCTCGCAGTAAGAATGACGTCAGCCAGGATAATATGGCTGAAACGCAGGGTAGATGGAGGGTGGCAGATTTAATTCCTTCCAAGCTTTTAGGTAGATGCTCGGTTGCCTTCCCCCCCCCCCCCCAGTTGAAAAATCGTTTCGTGGTGCGGTAAAAATGGAGTCAGCCTTGGTGATTTGCTGGGCTACAATCTGTGTAGTTTTCTCGGTAGCAGTGTAGGTAGTCCTTCACTTAAAACCCCAGTTGAGCCCCAAATTCCCGTTGCTAAGCGAGACATGCTTTAAGTTAATTTTGCCCCATTATATGACCTTTCTTGCCTCAGTTGCTACGGTTGTTAAGCGAATCCTACGTCTCCTTGACTTGGCTTGTCAGAAGGTCGCAAAAGGGGACCCCAGGATCCTGCAACCATCATAAATACGAGCCAGGTGTCTGAATTTTGAGCATGGGGCCACGGGGGATGCTGCCATAGTCGTAAGCGTGAGAAATGGCCATAAATCACCCTTTTCAGGGCCGTTGTAATTTTGAACTGTCACTCAATGAACTGTTGTAAGGTGAGGACTTGCTATATTCAGCTGGTTCCCGCACTTTAGTGTGCAGGTAGGCCCATTTGTAAGCATCAGTTCCCATCCTTCAGTTTCCTCCTCTTATGATATCTCTCTCACACTAACGGCCATCTGAAATGTCCCAACGTGGTTCCCCGCCCACCCACCCCCAGCAGCTGTAAGCACCAGTAGTAAAATGAATTTGAAGGATGGTATTACACTTACAAAATAAGAGAGGATAAAATATATTCCTTAGGAACTTTATTTCTTGAGTACCCTCTGGGCATGCTATGTTCTCATTACTTTTTTTTTTTTATTCCTCCTGTACCTGCCATATTTCAAGTTCTGCTCCTTTGAAAGAGAGAGAGAGAGAGAGAGAGAGAACGAACATTCTACCCTTGGTACGGCATTATCTTTCTGTGGCTAAATGAAACCGGGTTTATTGCACATTCTTAAAAATGGGCTACACAGTC